TCACCCAGTGAGCATCGCCGTACAGACTGGTCATCTCCCAGTGAGCATCACCATACAGACTGGTCATCACCCAGTGAGCATCGCCGTACAGATTGGTCATCACCCAGTGAGCATCACCGTACAGACTGTTTATCACCCAGTGAGCATCACCGTACAGACTGGTCATCACCCAGTGAGCATCACCGTACAGACTGGTCATCACCCAGTGAGCATCACCATACAGACTGGTCATCACCCAGTGAGCATCACCGTACAGACTGTTTATCACCCAGTGAGCATCACCGTACAGATTGGTCATCACCCAGTGAGCATCACCGTACAGACTGGTCATCACCCAGTGAGCATCACCGTCTTAGCAGCCCTGCAGGGGAGGCTGCTGGGGCTCCACCCAGCTTCCCGCATCTGGTCGGTGCGTCCACCCCGCTGCTCTGAGTGGTGGCTGTGGGTGCACAGAGCTCACCTTCCCAGGGAATTGCCCTTAGCCAGCGCTTGGCCCGGAAATGCCTAGGAGGTCACCCTTCCCCGATATACACACCCACCCAGTGCCTGGCAAACACGGTGCAGATGCTAGTCCTCTTGCCTCAGATGGGATGACTGTGGTGCTGTTCATGCTCCAGACACACACCCCAGCCCCCGTCCCGTTCCCCCCCCCCCCAGACCCTAGGAACAGGCAAAGGCTAAGTCAGTTGAACCACATTTTGCCCAGCTGCTTCCCTCATCCCCTTAGTTTCTCCTGAGAGCATTTACCCAGCCCCAACCATCTTAGAGAGCCTACCCTAAGACTCCCCAACCCACAGACTACACATTCCCTTTCCCCAAAGCCCTGTTAATTTTCCCTGGGCCTGTGCCAGCATCTTCTCCAAGGGACAGAAGTTCTCCCAGGGGACTTGGAAGTTCTCAAAAAACTGGCTCCCCCTGACCTCTCTCCCGGTGCCCAGGGCTGGGGGACCCAGAGGGAAAAGACGGAACTGGGAAAGCCCCTCCTTCCGTGTCAGCGCCCCCCCCCTGTCCTAAAGGCAAACCAGCCCCACCCCACAAAGGCTTGGGCCCCCGGAAGGAGGACAAAGCCCCCTGTTCACACCTGTCTGCTCACAGGTGATGGTGGAGAGAGGAGGTGGGAGAGCTGTAGGGTTCGAGGGACATAGGGAGTGAACAGAGTCCTGGCCCTAAAGAGGTGCGCAGAGGTGAGATAAAGCCTGGACATAAAATGCATAACTTCCTCCAGGAAGCGCCCATAACCTACACAACCCCTCCTTTTGTATGGTTACTCCCCCCAGCACCACAACAAGGCATCAATCTGTGTGTCCATCCAATTCAGGTCCTTGTCTTTCTGCCACCAGGCTGTGAACTCCTACTCCTCCTTCCCATGGCTGACGTCTCCCAGGTGCACATATTCCCGTTGGAGGAGTACTGGCTAGCAGCAAGACCCCCTGACCTTGGTATTTCAGTTTGTCCATCACCCCATTCCCCCACCCTCACCACCACCCCCACTGAGTTTCGTTAGCATGAGTCAGGGTCCCACACTTTGCTCACCCCCAGAGTGTCTGGAACTGTGTTTCTAACCCTGAACCAACAGAAACCCCCACAGCGTCGCAGGCCCCCAAAAGGGCTCTGTCCTCTGTCCCGCTTAACCTCAGCCTCCCCTCCACACGCCCCAGGGTGGCACTGCCAACAGCAGCATCTTCTGATTCCAAAGGCAACCAGGCCAGAGCCCATGTCAGGGGCCCCGACATAATCCCTCCATCCAGCCCGTCACACAACAAACACTCCGAGCCGCTGCCCTGCGGGTGCTGACGAGGCTGTCAGCTCGGAAAGAGCATCTTCGGGGAAACGGGTAGCAAACAGAAAAACAGAAACGAACCGGATGGTTTCCGAGTACGCTTGGTGCTAAGACGACTCTAAAGCAGGGGCATGTGACAAGCGACAGTGGGCAGAGGAGAGACCGGCTTTAGAGAGATGGAAAGAGCTGACAGTCTGGGATGAATTCCTGGCTCTGCTACCCACGAGCTGGGTGACACAGGATAAGTTACTTCATCTCTCTGAGCCTTGGCCTCTTCATTTACAAAATGGGAACAATAATACTTTCTCCCAGGGCTGATGTGAGGGTTTAAAAAAATATGTGCAGCCCTAGCCTGTTTGCTCAGTGGATAGAGTGTCGGCCCATGGACTGAAGGGTCCCGGGTTTGATTCCAGTCAAGGGCACATACTTCGGTTGCAGGCTTGATCCCCAGCCCTGGTCAGGGTGCATGCAGGAGGCAACCAATCCATGTGTCTCTCTCACATCAATGTTTCTCTCTCTGTGTCTCTCCCTCCTTTCCACTCTCTCTAAAAATCAATGGAAAAATATCTTTGGGGGAGGATTAACCAAAAACAAACAAGAAGACAATATGTGTAAAACATCTGGCCAAACAGTATGCTAAATGACAGCTCCTGAGATGATCAAATAGGAGGGAGAGATGGGGACAGACAGGCCCCCTCTGTGGCCCCCTCTACACTCCAGGGGTGCAAACATTCAAAGCAGACATTACACTGATGGGGATGCTTCATGAATATGGTCAAGACTCCTGCTGAGGGCTGTGCAGGGCTAAAGGGGGCTTGGAAACCAGGGAGGGGGTGCCCTTCAGGGAGCACCCCTCTTATCATAACCCTCACCCAGCTTTCAGTGAGTTATTTTGTGACTTTTAGCAAGTTACGTTTTCTCAGTTGTGAAATGGGGTTGTTGTGAGGAATAAATACGTAAACTCAGGTGAAGTGTTTAAAACAGGGTCTGGCACACGGTGAACAATCGAATCGTGTCCGCCAGCACTTTATTCTACAGATGATCCCGCACTCCCCTCAGGAGCCCACTCCCCGGGCCTGAGGCCCGAATGACAGGACCCACAGACGATGACGGCTGATGTATTCCCAGGGCCATGGCATAACTGCAAGCTCCTCGCCTCGGTTCTGAGAGGCAGACAGGCAAGTCCTATGTAGCCTGTGTTGGCAGAGGACACGATGGCAGGGAGAAGGCAATCCTGTCACTCACTGACCCAGAGCAGCGCTGGGACTCGAACCCAGGCCTTCCACTCAGTGGCCTGGAACTCAGTCCACTGGCCCAATCGTCCTCAGATGCCCCCATCCCCGCCCTGTGTCGCCAGGGGAGCCTGTCATAGCACATTCCTTGGCCCATGTGGAACCGTCAGCTCTGGCCCTGGTTTCATTTAGCTTTCTGAGCTCTATCAATAAACCCCCATGAGGAAAGGAAAACCCTGTCCCCCAACCTGTGTGCCGTAAAGTGTTCATCCACAGTCCCCCGCCAAACAAGGACGCTGCCTCCTCTCTCTCCTCAGAGCCTCGGCTCACAAGAGGATATGATTAAAGGCTCTGAAAAGTCCTGCAGTGAACACACCCGCGGACTTGGTTTAATCCAGTGCTTTCCGAGTGTATTTGACCATAAAGCCCTTTCTTCACAGAGCAGCTCTTAACATCTTGAGAGACAGAAGTGTTGTCTGTAACAAGTGGAGAAGTGCTGATCCGACGCTCAACACAAAACTAAGGCTGTGGAGTCAAGTAACACACACACACACCCCCACCACCACCACCACACACCACATGCCAGTCCCTTGGCTGAGAATATGAGATGGCATGAGAGATGTCACCCAGGGGGCAACTTCATCATGAGGACGGCTGAGGCAGAAATAGCAAGTCCCTAGCAGAGGGCTTCTGGCCAATCAGCTCACTCCTCTCTTCCCCCAAA